TCCATAAATCAAAATGAAAACAATCTGTTATTAATTGTATGTAAATGAAGCCTGTCAGAATTCACCCAGTGAACAGACCTCTGAATGTTTTCAAAAGTTAATACTTATTTTCTCAGACTTTTTTTGATTAATAGAACTGTGTTTCTTGCAGTGTGTTTCTTTGAACAAGTCTCCTGGATTTTACCTCAGTGCCCGCTTATGAGAGTAGATAAGAAGTTGTATGGAATGAGGGAGGTCACACCTGAAATTGTTGACAGCCCAGACTATGAAAACTGAAGAAAAAGTTAAAACTCATTTAACCTACTGGGCTGTAAACAGCTACTCAGTTATAACTAAAATGTTTTCCATTCTTCTTTTGTTGCTGTAGCTGGTATATTGTGTTGTGATTTACATGGCAACGATTTGGTCTTTAAGAGAGTTGAGAAGTGGATGATGCCTCTCTGGGGACGGCAGCGTTCTCCCTGTTATCCCTGTTAGCAGGAGCGGAGGAGCAGCTCTGGTGCTCAGGAGAGCAGAGGTGATCCCTGTGTGTTTGGAGCAGTGCGGGTGCCGGGATGAGGACGGGGAGGATAATGCAGTTTGACAGAAGCCTCCATCTCCCATCACAGCTCTCGTGTCTGTGTTTGGTAGCAAAGGGGTTTTGCATTTTGTGACTGCTGCAGTCTGAGAGCGGTTCCTCTGCCTGCTCTGCAAACAGCCAGCTGGTGTTCTGGGCAGAAAAGCAAAATTTCCCCCACCTTGTAGAACAACTCGCAGAAAATTACTTCAGTTCTCTTTTCCTGAGATAACGGAGTACTTTCTCCTTTTTGCTGATCTGTTTGGGGCAGAATCCTTTCATTTTTGAAGAACTGTCCTAACAAGCTAACTATGCTTCCTCGTTAAATTCCTTGCTTCAGTGTATTCAGGCTAATGCAGAAAATGCTTCTATATGTGTTACTTTGCAGTAATCTTTTCAATCTTTGTTATAATATATAAATATTGCCCCTCCTGCAAAGCTTCCAGATTCAGTGCTGATCTGATTTGGTTGTCCCATTGACAAGGTCATTGTTCTTAGTTTTATTAAAATTAATTTGCACAGATGACAATGGAGCTTATTGTTTGTTCCCTTCAAATCATTGAAGCCCAGGTTCAAGTTTTCTGGTTTTAATATAGTGATCTGTTGAGGCTTATACTGAATTCTGGAGAAAGCTCTCATCCAAGAAGAGTGAGTAGTTGAAGGTAGGGTAACTAAGTTTAGTAAGTTAAGAGACCAAAAGGTAAAATTCCACCTTGGAAAATGAGGCAGGGATGTGAGAAAGGTGTTACTGTTATGCTTATGAACTGATGAGTTAATTGATTCTGCATTTGGTTATGGAGATCTCTGTCTAGCAGAACAAGATGCCTCTGCTTATTTTGTTCCTCTGGAAAGTTCATTCAGTATTTTTAAAATAAATAAACCAACCTGGCTTTCTTTTGGAGCAGCCTAAGAGAGGCAGCTCCTTGTGGGGAAGGAGGATGGACCTTCTTGTCTTTCAGGTGTTGCTGAAGGCTGAAGTTGGCACCTGAGCTTTCTTTTCCCTGTAAATACAGAAGCATTAGCTTTGGTCCAGAATTTGTACATGTGAACAAAAAGAACTTAAGGTGGGAACACTGATTTGATGGGTGTAATTACAGAAGGTTTCAGCCAGCACAGATGCCAGCACCATCCCAGCAAGAAAAATCCGTAGTGTAGACCAGTCTAAATCAGCATCTGGCTTGTTTACAGGGAAGAGTTTGATCATTTAATGAAGTGGAGCTCCATATTGTTCCTTGCTGGAGCCAAAGGAAAACATTTTCTGGGCACAGTGAATAATTAAATTGAGGGGAGTGCAAAATATCCTGTTATAAAAGTGGTATTTGAGAACTTCATTGTTTCTTCCCAATGTCTGTGAGCCCTTTTGCATTTTCCCATGCACCTACAAAGAAGAATAGTGCTAAAAGTTGAGACGAAGCAAAAGACAAATTTCCAATTGTTCCAGGTGACCTTTTCCCACTTACTTTATTTAGTAAAAGGCTGACCTGATAAGGTTTTGATTTTTTTGTTTGTTTGTTTATCACAACTTAACATATTTGTCTCTTTAGAGTAGTGAGTTACCATATTAGTCTGTGGAGAAGGTATTTAGTGCACTGTCTAAACTGATCAATTGGAACTTGTTTAAAGTTCTGTGGGTTTTAATTTCTTGTCAGCTCATGCTTTTTGGACTTTAAAACATGCACCTGCACTTCACAGTCACTGTGTTGCTATTTCTCTGTCAGAGAAGTTACTCCATGATTCAGCTTCTCCTCTGTGAAGAATCTAAAATAATAAGTTAACTTGAAAACAGGGTCAAAGAAGTAATTGGGAAAAAATGTAATAAGCTTTGAACTGCTCAGTGGCTGGGTGGTGATTCTGTATCAGCAGTAAATCGCAGGATCATAAAATGACAGAATGGTTTGGGTTGGAAGAACCCAATAAGGACCTTAAAGCTCATCTCGTTCCACCCCCTGCCACGGGCAGGGACACCTTCCACTATCCCAGGTTGCTCCAAGCCCTGTCCAACCTGGCCTTGGACACTTCCAGGGATGGGGCAGCCACAGCTTCTCTGGGCAAACCTGTACCAGGGCCTCCCCACCCTCACTGGGAGGAATTGCTTCCTAACACCTAATCTAAACCTGCTCCCTGTGAGTGTGAAGCCATTTTGCCATGTCCTCTCACTACAGTTCCTGATGAAAACAAATTTGAGTGGGTCTGTGAGATGCAGTTGGGGATCAGGCTGAGACCTAACAGTAAAAAAAACACAAAAAAACAATACATGAAAGTGCTGAATTTCCTTGCCATATAGTGGGTGTTGGCAAAGCTGTCAAGGAAGAGAAATTGCATTGCTCCATTGAGCCTTTTTATATTCTTTACTTCATAATAACCCGAGGCCTCGTGTTAGGAGGTGGTGAGCTCATATCTCAGAGGCTTTCAAAGCTGCAGAGACTCAGCCTCTCTAAGAATTATGTCTGAAAGCATCTGCTCTTTAAGGGGCACAGAGGATAATTGCAGCTAAAAACCTAATCTTGTGATGTATGTGAAAGCTTTGCTGTGGCGCGGGATGTCCTGAGCTATTTAGTTTCCAAAGTGGTATCTCAGTACTTGTTGAGATTGTTTTTGCAGCCAGCTGCTTTCCAGCTTGAGCTGCAGTCTCCTTTCTCAGTCTCAGTATCACTCAAACAGATGATGCCTCGTTTCCTTGCCCCATCCCAAATGTGTGTTGGGGTTTGTGTAAAATGAGAACTGTTTAAGACTTCACAAAGTAGGGCAGGTGACAAAGCATTTACAGTTCCAGGTACCCATCACGTGTCATTTGGGTCTCTTTGGAAGCGTCACCTACTCAAACCATACCAGCTTCTGCTCTGGCAGGAGATATTCTCAAGCATTGGAATTTTGGGACAGCCACTTTCTGGTGGTCCTTGGCAGCATAGTTTTTGGTGGCAGTGGGCAGGTGCATGGGCAGTGTGTACTGCCTTCTCTTCAGTGGAAAGCACGTTCAACTCCCTCACGTTTCTAACTAGAAAACTTTAATTCCTCAGAAAACTCTACTGTTTCTAGAGAGACTGAGCTAATTAAGAAAGTGATTAAAAACCCTATTTTGGGAGTTGGGGGGAAAAAGCCTTCACCAAATTGAACAGATAAACCCAGTGTCTACTATGCTCATATAGGAGGTGTTTTGGCAACCCTTTAATTTATCTGTGGACTAGAGAAACCCTTTTTTGGGAACTTTAAGGAAAAAGCCTTCTTTATGAAGTCACCTTTAGTAAAATCAAGTTGACTTTGTATCCTCCTGTATATATGTATGTATTTTTCACTTACTTTATTACAGATACAGGGATCCTTGTAGGATCCTGCTCCTTTTTGTCATTCTGCAGGGGCATGGGCATCTCTGAGGAATGGTGGAGGGGAAGCAGTAGGAAGTCTGATTGCCTTCTCAGCACATTCCTCAGCCTGGCACAGTTTTGTAACGTATAGGTGGGAGTGAAGTGCTCTGCAGGCTGTCCAAACAAGTGATGTTGGAACCCGAGCTTTATGGGAAAGCTTTCTGTGTGCTCCTGATTGCTCGTCTGTTTTCACGGAGCATAAATATGGATCTCTCCGAAAAGGATAGTCCTGCCCTGCCCCCTGGCCCGGCCATGCGATAGCCCCTCATTCATGAGGCCACCTGATCTGGTGAATAGATCAGCGGAGCTGCTGGAAAAATCCCGTGTGTGTGCCTGGAGTCCTCAGAAGGAGGCAGTAGGAATAAGGGTGGCAAATTGGACGTTTGGCTGTGCCTTGTAGGGCAAGGTGTGTGCGAAGGTATTGCCGTGAAGAAGGTGCTAACTCGTAAAAGATTTAATCGTCGGGGAACAGGTATAACCGATTTTTAGTTTGTGTCTAGTTTTGAATTGAATCCTGTTGTGTAACTTCTGAGTTTTTGTTTACTGGGCTCTTGGTGTTCTGTAGGCACAGAGAGTTGCAATACGATGCATAAGAAATGGCAGTCTGATGTGACAAATTAATATTTTAATCAGTTTTGCATGCTTAAAACAGCACATCGTTGAGCCTTATATGTTGGGTAACTATTCTGTGGTAAGGGAGGAAATACTGTATGCATTTGCCTGTTTGTCCTTTATCTGCCTGCCTCATCCTTTCCCTCTATTTTGCTCTCTACACAAAGATTTTTTTGCCTTTCCCATCCTAAGTTGCAGATTGCAGTAAGAGTGTTCATGGATATTTTGTTGTGGACTCGATGTCGCTTGGATGTACTTCTTTCACTTCAACAGGTTGGTCACTTATGTGGCGACCGGTTCTTTGTAAATACTGGTTTGTTTTAACCAATCTCTCTTAGTCTCAGCAGGTCATGACTGGGTTTAACCGAGTAAATTGGGATCAGAATAGGTGTGGCATTTAATAATTAACTTTCTGGTTACTCAGGTCCAGTAGGAAACCTATAAAGACTCTGTTTTTATTTTGTTTACAGGAATAGTTATCTGCTTAGTCTCATCCTTCATATTTGGCAATCTGAGGAAAAGGTCTGAGCCAGCATGAAGACAGAATCCCCTCTTCATTAGAGAAAAAGTGAGTTGGAATTGGGTTGAAATCTGAATTTGTGGAATGAAAATATACCACATTAGCCTGCCAACACACACAGCTTGTGCTTGCTTTCAAGTGGTATTTTCACTTCCTAACACTACTGTTACGGATGATGCCCGCTCAAGGCCTAGTTACTTGGTTAAGCACGGGGATAAAATTTTCAAATACATACGTTTTATGTAAACTTCTGCACCTTCCTATTCCAAAAGAATTGTTTGCTCTCTGTGTAACTGCCCATCTGATACGCTCCTTCCTTCCAAATCTGGTGAGGTCTATTACAAGACCTTACAGGATCTCTAAACTTTTGTGTTCCTTTTCTTGTTCTGCTGTATTCGTGCTGAGTTTTGTTTTAATAATTTAATATTTGTGGCTTGTTTCTGTAGCTGTGCTGGTCTCTTCTCCTGTGTTCTCGGTGCTTAATGTGTACCTGTTTTCTGAATTTATGTGGAATCCTCTGTGCAAATTCGAGGAATCCCACAAATGTGAGACTGAGGGGTTTCTTTAATCCTCATTTCTGCACTAGGAAATCCTGAATTCTGCATGCAAAATGCCGTTAATCCAAGCCTTGTCCTTTTCATGGCGGTTGTAATAGTATCAATAAAAAAAGATTGCCTGTTTGCCCAGCCTGATTTTTGGTGTCAGCTGGGTTAAATCTCGTTTTATTTTTGGTTTGAAGCAGCTCCCGTGCAGGCCCCGTGTGTACTAACGGTGTGTTGTGACTCCTCAGCTTTCCGCCCGACGCAGCTCATTTCAAGAAGTGCACAATGACAGAGCGTGGGATTAAATGGGCTTGTGAGTATTGTACATATGAAAATTGGCCCTCTGCAATCAAATGCACCATGTGTCGTGCCCAGAGGCCCAGCGGAACGATCATCACGGAAGATCCGTTCAAAAGTGGCTCCAGTGACATCGGCAGGGACTGGGATCCCACGAGCACCGAGGGAGGGAGCAGCCCTTTGATATGCCCGGATTCCAGTGCAAGACCGAGGGTTAAATCCTCCTACAGCATGGAAAGTGCAAATAAATGGTCGTGCCACATGTGCACGTACTTGAACTGGCCCAGGGCCATCAGGTGCACTCAGTGCTTGTCTCAGCGTAGGACCAGGAGTCCCACGGAGTCCCCTCAGTCTTCGGGGTCAGGGTCCCGGCCCGTCCCCTTTGCCGTCGATCCGTGCGAGGAGTACAATGACAGGAACAAACTGAACACAAGGGCTCAGCACTGGACTTGTTCCGTCTGTACGTACGAAAACTGGGCCAAGGCCAGGAAATGCGTTGTGTGCGACCACCCCAGGCCCAACAACATCGAAGCAATAGAACTGGCAGACACAGAAGAGGCTTCTTCCATCATCAACGAGCAGGACAGGGCTCGGTGGAGGGGGAGCTGTAGTAGTGGAAATAGCCAAAGAAGATCTCCACCCACAACCAAACGTGAATCCGACGTGAAAATGGACTTCCAAAGGATTGAGTTGGCCGGAGCTGTTGGCAGCAAGGAGGAACTTGAAGTTGACTTCAAAAAGCTAAAGCAAATAAAAAATAGAATGAAAAAGACTGACTGGCTGTTCCTAAATGCGTGTGTCGGTAAGTTGTTTTCCTGCTGCCTTCTACTGTTTTTGCCTGTGGTTAAGTATTTTGGGAGAATGAAGAAGTAAAACAGAAGCTTGGCATTTGATTTCAAGCTCTTTTTATTTTTAATCTCTGCATTTCCATTTTAAAAAGTAAGCCAAATGTAGAAGTTCCTGAAATAGCACCTACTGAGAGAGGCTGTGGAGTTCATCCATAATCTGAACAGGGTTAGACGTGTTTCCCAAGTGTGCTTGGACTTTTTTGACCTTTCGTAGAAATGGATATCCTTGTAACCAAATCCTGGTTTTCCATGTAATTGTTAAAAGGTGGAAAAATTACAAAGGCCAGTCTACAGAGCACTAATGTATATAGTACTGTAAAAAATGCCATTACTGGGTAATTAAAATTACTCTTCTTTTTGCTATGGAAAGCTATGCTTGTGGAGTCAGCAGCTGCAGCTTGGGAGTATTTGTAAACAGTGCAGAGCTCGCAACAGTACAAGATGCTCTGTCAGATGTTAAAAATAACACCAGAATATGTAGCTCCAAGAAACTGCGTGTGTAATACTGACCTTGAAAGTAATAATGTTGTATTAATGCAGCTACTGTGTTGTAAATGTTTACCAGGCTTTCCGAAAGTATTTCAGCAGTCGACTGCTTCAGAAACACTCAAATACCAGTTTTGTTTTGTATTTTAGTGCTTTCCTAAGGAAATTCTGGGTAATTCTCCCAGTGCTGTTAAAGAACAGAGACCTTGTGAGTTAACTTTTGTGCTGTAGCTTCCCAGAAGCAGATATCCCGTGCCCCGGCGCACGAGCAGGTTTCAGCACTTGAAATACACAACTATTTTTAGAGTAAAACACTTCATATGAAACTCTGGCTCTACTAGTATGTCTCCTGCTGTTTCTTAATGCTTCACAAAGTCACTGCGTGGTGGTTGTAATTGAAAAGCTGATTTGTGGAGCTGCTTCATTTAATATCTTCTATCAGGTCTAAATGTTTTTATGGGTATCCTGTGTTTGGTTTCTCTGAGATTATAAGCCAGTTTATTTTTGTGTTGTGTGAATAGTTAGACAAGCACATTTCCTTTTGAAAATAGATGTCTCAGTATCTCCTGGTATCTCTAGGTCCTTATATGCTGGGTTGTTTTTTTTTTCTTCTGAAATAAAGAAGTTGAAATTCTCTGTGATATTTTGTAAGCTATAAAATACCAAAGATCAGTTGTTGTAGGTCATTCCTGTTCCATGACAAGTCTACATCTTGCCTTCTGATAGCAGCTATAATAAATATTAGGGGATTTTTTTTCCCTCTGATTTTTGAAAAGTGATTTCTTTTTTCACTATTGCAGCGTTACTTAAAATATTTCATACTTGCAGATCTAATCTGTGGGAAGGGTTGTGTTCGTGTTTAAGAACATGGTTTTGTGAGTATATAATGTTGCTTGTGACTGTGTAGTCACACCTGGAACTCAAAACTATGGTCCTGAAGTTTTGTAAGGCAATAGTGGTCTGGCTCTTGTTTTAAGGGATCTTGGTGAGAAAACCAGAATGCAGGTGGAGTTGTGTGCTGATTGTTGCTGTTCTGCTGAAAGATTTCATGGATTCCTTTCTCTAACCTGAACAGTTACTATACTTTTTAACTGAGAGGGTAAAAAACCAGCAGCTAAAGCTGTTAATTCTGAAATGGAAGGTGGGTGATTTCATTTGGTGTATCCCAGGTGTCATGTTTTTTCCAAATAAAATCCCTGGAATAACTTTAGGAAGATTGATGGAAGCTCCACGGACTCTTTTGTGGTTGTGTCTGGTTGTCTTGCAGAGTATATTGGAAAGATACACCAATTTAACCAGTAACTTTTAAAGAAATAAGACAAATTTATGTCACACCAAGGCCACCAACATACTTCAAACAATTTAACTGTCAGTTGGACAATTTTGCCCCAAGTATCTGTTCTTACCATTGAAATCAGCTGCATTATTGTGACTCAGTGGGTTCTGTTCTGTTTGTTTGCCAGCTGGAGCTCTTGGGGGCTTTGAGCTCCAACACTTGTCAGTCCTTAGCCAAGCAAAACTATAAAATAGGACGAGTTGGTGTTAAATGTCGAGTCGTTTTGTGAACACTGATGACCAAGAGTTTGTGTGTTACCCTTCCCCAGCTGACAGATTGTGCCTTGTTAGGATTTGGGAACTTCAGACCACACACTTCCAAGTCTGAGCTGGATCAGTCGTGGAGGGTCTGTTTGCTTTGAGTTTGTCTCATGTAGGAGAGATGTTAACTTTTTAACTTCAACTTTTAAAGTTAACCCTGCAGTTAAAAATAAGGATGAGAGGAGCAGGAGTAGGAGGAATTCTTGGCAGAGTGGTTATTTTCTTTTCTCTTAGAAGATATTATCTGTCAGAAGGTACCGAGGAAAACGTCTGATACTTTAGGACAGCTGTTGGGTTGAACTCCCTCTTCACATCTTGACTGTAGTACAAATTCTTTTTACTAGATTTTTTATTTAATGTCAAGTTCGGTTAGGAACACGTAACAGGCTGCTCTTTTCCACATATGTTCCTTTTAGCTGAAACGTGGGGATAGATGTGTATGGTTTGTAGATTTAAGAAGGTGCCTGTATGTGTGGGTTTGCACCTCAGTAAATAAACATGCCATCAAGGCTTGTATTCCTTGCACATCCAGGCTGTACCAAATGTGATGAGTGCAACTCAGCATGAATAGTTTCCTTGATGGTTGGTTTTCTTTCAAAGCAGAAGGATTAGTGGCATTCCCCCATTCCAACTCTGCCACTAAATGTTCTTAAACTTTTTTCTTTTTAAATTGACTTGTCTTTGAAGCAGTGGATGTATCTGCCGAGTGATTTTTTTATCAAAAGGATGAGGTTTTGAACAGATTCATTTGGTTAAAATTTATTGAAACCCAGGCAGAACAGGTAGTAAGTGAGGCTGCTGGATAATAGAGCCTCCTGCAAATCCCAGTTGGAATTACAGTGAGGAATTACAAGTGATTTTTACAAGAACACTAATGTTTTCTACCACAGTGGCCTAGAACAAGGTTAACATGAAGTCCAAGGTGAATGATTTCTTGGGGAAGGGGGTAACTAATGTACATTTAAAATTAAGCTCTGTTATATTTTGTATAACTCCTGGTATCGATGTCAGAGGCTGTCAGAGACTCTTGGTGGCCTGTGAGGCTTAAAGGAATGTGATGTGCAGGAACCAAGTGTTGCTGTGGGCCTGGTGAAGCTGCTTCCAGCTGGCTGTGGATTTAAGGAGTACAAGTGGATGAGGATGATTGTGACTATGAGACCTCTCTAGCAGAGTTCACTTGGGGCCTACGCTTCAGAACTCTCTGGAGCTTCCACTCTGCTGGCACTCGGGGCTGGGTTTGACAGCGTTTGCTGCAGGGCACTGCTGGGGATTCTTGGGTTGTGAGTTCAGCTCCTGTGCTTGAACTGTAGCCCAGAGATGAAAAGTAAACTGCATTTCTTCTCCTTTTCCTCTTTCCTCCACCTGTTTCTTGCCTGGTGCAAGAAGAGTGTGCTCTTCTCCTTCGGTTCAGGTCACTAAGGTGGGTTCTGCTGCCACAGGCCAGACCTCCCTGTGGGGATGGTGCCTCCCAGATCAAGTAGGCACACATTCTTCTTAGCTCTGTGAAAGGAACAACTAAGAGTGTGTTTCTTAAACAAATCCAAAGTATTTAGAGCAATCTGTAATGAATCTTGTTCTGCAGTACATCCATAAAAGGACTGTTAGTTCATTCCTAGTATTCCTGCATATGTCTGCTTAGTTTTTCCTTTGTTGACTATTTTATCTCTCTCACAGGGTTTTTTTTTTCCCCATCAGCTCTCTGAAATAGTGCCAGCTGTGTTCCCCACGCCTTCAGAAACCCTGCCCTGTCCAGACACTGGTATGGAGCTGGCTGGGAAGTGTCTGACGCTGCTCTGCAGCTCTGGGAGAGGTGGAGGCACCTCCTGCTCTGTCTCTTCACTGCCTGTGGCTCCTCACTGAGCATTATTAATAAAGGCAGCCTGAAGGGAGTGACATAATCAAGGTGCTTTCAGCTGGCACTGCTACCTGAAGTAGTCCTATCTGCCCATTTTTGTCCTACTGGGATGCTGGAAAGTGAGGGGGATGTTTTTGTGGGGGCGTTTTGTTTGTTGGCTTTGCTGGTTTAGTAAGCCCAGACTGGCTTCCTCGAGGATCACATCCAAGGTGGAGCTAAACCCATGGGGCTGTTTATGCTGTGATAAGGGAGTGGGGAGTGTTAGGGGTGGGAACGAGCTGCTGGAGGAGGGGAAGGGTCATGCACCTTTCCTTGCTGGTGTCAGTCTAGGCTTGAAGTGTTTGGGGAAGTACAGCATGAATTACTCACTGAGAGGTGATCACTTTCCAGGCTGGCCTTGGCTGGATGTGGCAGACAGGGCCTGCTGGGATGGTTTGGAGGGGAAGGGGCCCTGCTGTGAGCTGTACAGCCTGGCCTCCTTCCCCTGTTCCTTTCACCTGGGTGAGAAATCTTGTTGTATATGTCATTAGTGCCTTATCAATCTGTTCTATCATAAATGCTTGGCATTTGTGTGTGTGTGTGTGCATGGATCTTTCAGAGCAGGGAAAACTCTGCATGCCTTACTCCTTGGTAGAAAAATCTGAATTCCTGAACCACACTTTATTTTGGTCTCTTGACTACTTTTTTTAAACACTCCGTGGTATTTTATGCTAAACATAATTGACTAAATGATAAAGTTTAAACCAGTTTGTTTAAATTTGTCTTAGAAGCACTGATGGTTAACTTTAATAATTAAATGATTTTACACTGTCCAGCCTCCCTTCAGGGTACAACCCTGCAAGCAGCAAAGGAGTGTGGATACCTCTGACAGATTGGAGAGGGGATAAGGGCATCTTTAAACAGTTGTTCTGTCTTGTAATGATACATTCAAAACATTCTGCATGGACTGTATGTAGGGTAAGAGCTGTTTGCATGGAATAAAGAATAGGTAATAGTCATCCATTGGATGGCTTCAGG